GTCAGCAAGATTTGCATCTCGGCGTGATTCTTTGTGGGGGTCTGGGGGTAGTAGTGGGTTAGGAAACCTACTTCTGAAAGGTTATCACTGGGGTTATGATGAGGTTATAAAGGGTACATCATCATGTGGGTGGTTGTCAAAGTTATGGTCCCTTTTTGGATCCTTATTATAATACGGCACCTAGTCTTTAGGGTACCAGAAAAGGGGACCAACATTTTGACAACCACCCATGTGTCGCCTAGCTCCAGTGTCCGTCAAAGTACAGGCTGGGTTTGGGCTTAGGGTTTTAGGGTTTAGGGTTTAGGGTTTCGCCTCCAGATTTTAGCATAAAGGACCAAACTTACCGTAAGATTTGAGACTTCCTACACTCTAAACCCTGGGTATATCGGGGTTATTTTGGGATAATGGAAAGAAAAATGGAAACTATAGGGATTGTAGGGATTATATGGGGGATATAAAGGGATTGCATAGGGTATATACTGGGATTATACTGGGATAGTGCTGAGCTTGCACGATGAGTAGATGATCGACTGGTTGATTTCAGACCTGGCCCGCAAGTTTCAGCAAGTACCTTGGGCAGGCAGGAGTTCGGGGGTCTCTAGACCAGAGTCGCCCATCCCACAAAAATGCAAGTACCTTCTTCATGCTTCAGGTAAATCAAGATTGGCTACACTCTAAACTCATGTAAAATCTAAATCTCAAACCTTAAGGTCCCCATCCTCGTAGCTTAACCCCATGCAACCAAGCCCATAGGGAATTCGAAAAGCAAAAACGGGGTCCTCCTTAAATGACCACACTAGTTTGTAGGCTTGTCATAGGGACGGACGCCCCTGACCCTTGAAATCGAAGTACACTCCATTTTGAATCCTTTCAATCGGAGTTTCTCAAAATGGGGGTGCCTTAGGGACCCCAGGGATGTGTGTGGACCGCGATAGGATTATGGGCATCCGTGTGACTGTGCGTTGGATCTTTTTTTGAATGCAGCTCTGCATGTTTTGATGAACTCGGAAAAGCAAATTACGTGTTTCAGCGCTGTCCCAATAAGCCACTCGCCCAGTTTCACAATTTCATGTTCCGTTCTGCATTTGATTCTACCGCATTTTGTAGCTACCCCTTATGAGGGCCTTGCAAGCACACTAGCCCTGATGGAACCCCAGCAACGTAGTAGTTTCCGTGTTCTTTCCATTATTTCATTTTCTTCTTTCCCTACTAACAACCGGCAAGTGAATCGGAAACCGAATTCCTAGTGCCTATTTAATTGTCCACGTTCCTTCCCATTTGCTCCTGCAGTATTGGGCCAAGATTCCTATATACCCCTATAGAATCCCCAGATGGTCCCTATCTAAAGTAAACCCCGAATACTAGCTGCCAGTTGTTCATTCTTACATCCCTACGAACAACCAGCGAGTAATCCCTGAACACTATACATCCTCATAAGTTGTTTCATGTCATTGCCCATTTTGTGATCCATTTGATTCTCCTTCACTGGGCATGATACCCCAAAACCTTTGCAATCTTTTCTATGCTCCCTATCCTTTGGATAATCACTATTTGTGCTATAGCCCCTACATACACCTCATCTAATCCCTACATAGCCCTTTGAGTAACCTAAACCATCCTTAGATGATCCCTATAACGCACCCTAAACCCTGAATCCTAAACCCTGAACCCTTTGAACACTAAACCCTAAACCCTAAAACCCTAAACCCTAAACCCATTATAGTAGTTTCCATTTTCTTTTCCATTATCTAACCCCTAAAACCCTAAACCCAAGGCTTGAGCTTCGGAGCGGTCTTGTACAGCTGGCCGCGTAGCGCAGCGACGGCAAAGAGGCAACGCACTGAGCTCCTCGAGCAGCTCCAGGCGCGCTTTGCGGTCTTGGGATTAAGATTTAGCGTGTAGGGTTTGGGGTTTAGGGATTAGGGTTTAGGGTTTGGGGTTTAGGGATTAGGGTTTAGGGGTATAGGATTTTCCGCCTTTTCCAGAATGACCTCCTAGGGCTTAGGGGCACGTAGATTATGAGCCCAAACAGCGGTGCAGTACTGATGGACGTCATGGCAATTGCCGCTCCAAGCACTCACTATGTGGTCTTCCGAACAATGAGCCCTCGTAATATCTTGTAATTCTACACCCTCACGGACCTGTACTCTCCTCATCATCTCCTAAAGAGGTTACCCCTGACTATCCCATGCGGTGCCAAAGCCCATGCTACATCCAGGATCAAAAGCGTCTACTGCTGGAGCATGAGAACTTTCTGCACGATGAGGTGGGGCCGCAACTAGGATTCGTGCGCTCTGTGATTGCCCCATATAATCCGAAGTGCTGGTCCAACAAGACTGCGAATAATTCAAATGATTCGGATGAGTTCAAATGTTACATGTGAGTTCAAGGTTTGATTGCCTGACCTGGCCCCAGCACGGCTTGAAAACATGAAGAGAAGTGGTAATTGTGCCACGAAAGCGGGAGCCACAAGCACAGAGGCAAGCAAAAGAATTCTTTGGCACAACTTCGGGCAGATGGGCAGCTTTCTTCCCACAGTAGTCCCAAATAACAAGGGATCCCCACAATCCCTCTCCAGAATCCCTAAATGCTCCATGGGGTCTTTAAGGGCCCCTCCAAAAATCCCACACCTGCATCTTTGCTCCAAGAGTTGGTCCCACCCCACCTGTCTAGGGTGCGCCAAAATGAACCACAGTTTCTGAGGATACCTCTCCAAGTACTTGTACGGTCCTGACTATGGGCCTTTCATTGGGCTTGTAGGCTGTTACAGGGTCTGTAACAAGGTACATGGGTAGATCCCAAAATTAGGATCCCATTTTGGTACACCCCTAAACATTAGGTGCCGTAAAAAAGTCTATAACCAGACTTTTTGGGAGCAACCCACATAGGACAGGCCCTACCTAACCCCTAAACCCTAAACCCTACTTGGAGGGTCATGGGGACTTAGTAAGTGGCTTAATAACCCCTCTAAATCCCTCTAAGCCATATAATACCCCCAAGTATCCCCCTGATTAACCTACTTACTAAGTCCCCATGACCCTCCAAGTATGACAGGTACATAAGGGCTTTGCTTCTTCTGAGTTCCGTCTCTGCCCCCCTGCGTCAGGCTCGAGGGCTTCTGATGCCTCCTCGGCCCGACAGTGGGTGTCTTCTGGAGGAGTTTCTGGGTTGCTGAAATGAGCTATAGTCTAAACCCCTCAAACAGGGACTATATATGCGGGATTATATGGGGGATGATTATAGGTGTCATTAAGGGGGATGCCAGGAGTTTAGACTGTAGCTCAAATGGACAAATAAAAACGACCTCGCCCAACCTCACCTGAAATAATGGTGTATCCTCAACTGGCTTAACTTTGGGTTGGGAAATGAATGGAAGATGGGCTTTGTTAAAACATTGAACTAAGTTAACCATCACATGGATACCCTCATGATAAACCTGGCAGGGAAAAGGCTATAGCCCGCCTTAAGTACATAGAGTATGGCTTTGGGTATATTATTCTAAGATTCCCATATACCCCATATTCTATCTACCTAAGGGGGACTATAACTTGTGTTGCTCAAAATTCTAGGTCCATGGCGGCTGCATGCACGCCCTGGAGAAAAGCAGCAATGGCCAAAATAGGCGTCCCGTTGTCGCCTAGCACGTATTCAAACACTCCATACTTCGTAATTTCCACAAACGGGCGGACCCCAATGGTGCTTGAGAGTCGCAAGTCTATCTTCATAGGTCTTGAAACACAACATGTTTATACACGCTTATCATTTCAGATGTGGTAGTCTCGCAGATTGCAGACTATGCGGGGCTGGTCTGACAAGCTGCTCAATAGTCACTCATTGGTCAATGTAGTGCCATCGCTTGTGTTGGGAAATTGAGCAATCTCTGCCTTCAAAAAGCTCAAAAGGATAGCAGGCTTGCTAGCTGCTGGGTACCAGCTAGCAGTCTAAGTAATCGCCCAGGTGGCGACTCTTCTGCGCCAAGGAGAAGGCCATCTATGCCGTGTTGAACTGCTTTGAAGGAACTCTGCTCAATTCTTTAGTCATGTGAGTGACGGGAGGCTCTTCAACATGGCCCCAAACCGCTTCTCCCACATAAGGCTGCAGCTCAGTAGGAACCGCATGAACGTCTCTTTGCTGTGTTGAAAGATTTGTTTCATGAAAAGATGACCAGAGATGCAGTTGCTGAGGGGCGGGGAGGCTTGGTTGTCCAAGATGTCATGAAGCTAAGGAAACAGCAGTTTGAGAGCCAGTTGCTGGTACGCAGCTCGTGAAGAAGACTGCATACGATCGGTTCTGACGATTCTTGCTTGCCAGAAGCCCCATGTTCTTCTGGACTTCGTCCACCGTCCGCTGCTGCAGCTGATCCTTGAAATCCTGCATGACCTTCGGAGACTTTTACACCATAGTGCTCATGGTAAAAGGTACCTTGGGTCATGCAGGATTTTGGGTGTCAACCGTATGTCTCTGTTTTAGAATGTGGGAAGGGCTGTGACGTTAGACATAATGGAGTTCCGGGCACTTTACAGTTTTCCTTTCCCCAACCTGGCACGGAATCCCACAGAAGGCCATCTAAAGAACTGTGACAATGGTTTTTGCAGTACCTCTTGCAGGGTTCCAAATTTAATCCCTAAACACTAAACAACCGGAGAGTACTTGTGGTGCCCCAGGACCGGTCCAGCGTTCGCGATGGATTTCACGAGCGCGAGTGCTATGTTGATTCCAGACTCTAGGTCCTTCTAGCTTCGGGCTCAGGGTTGTGGATGTAGTAGTAAGGGGGATGTTGGCAACTTCCACCCTGTATGAAATGAGCATTTGGGTTACCAACATCTTCTTGAAGTCGTGTTTTTCAGAGGTTCGATGAGTTCAACGAGCTCAGGTCATCCTGTCCCAGCTTAAGTCTACCTGTGTGACTCTGCAAGTAAGATGCGTAGGATTTTGTGGACATGGCCACCTTTAAAAAAGTGACTGAACCGCGTGCACCCGAAAGCAACAGGATCTTTACCATGAAGCTACATTTTCACTCATCCCCCAACATATGCCCTGCAACCCAGGATAGAGGAGAGGCTTATAAGACGGCCCCGACCTACACTAAGTCCAACACTCTGACTGCGATATATCAAGATCTGGTGGATACCTACGGCGTGCCAAGATACCGTGAAGCCAACCCTGCCTTGCTGACGGTCATTTCATTCCCATTTCTATTTGGGGTAATGTATGGCGATGTTGGGCATGGACTGATGCTGCTGATGGGGGCCGCCTGGATTTTTTGGTCGGATGCTGCGAGCAGTATGCCAGATCTTTTCAGAGCAAGATATCTCGTGCTGCTGATGGGCTTGTTCTCCGTGTACTGTGGCAGCTGTGCTGCATTGGAGTCGTTAGATCAGACCACTTGTCGTGCGCAATTCTACTGAATGCGCCCAATTACCAAAAACAAGAGTAACTAGCTGTTTTAGCAATTCCCACTGCAGGTTCTGAAGCAAGAGCCCAGTGGACACTGAATAACCAAACTCCTATTACTCAGGTCTTTTGTACAACGACTTCTTCAGCGTGGGCTTGTGCATATTCCAATCGCGTTGGTCAATACCGGTAGAAAGGCAAGGCTCATGGGCTCCGTTCTCACCAGTGTTTTTCAAGCTGAATAGCTCGAATGTAGTTTCATGTTGGGTTTCGAAGAGATGGTACTTGTGCTTTAGAAGTGTTTGGCAGGGATGTGAAGATGATGATGCTATATGGTGCTGTAAAACGTCACGGATGTTCGAACCAATGCTCCAGATTCTTTACTTTGGGACCTGTGAGGCTCGGACAACTTCTAGGGCTTCAGGAGAAAGTTCTTACTCAGGCTTCCGTTCCAGAATCGCTTGTTAGGTGACCTTCATGATCCTTTTTGAGGCTTGTATAGTCCAATTACGTATGCTTTTGAAGATTAACTCTCAGGCCTCTGCAACTAGGTGGTCTCAAGTCTCAACAGCACGCAACTCGAGCTGCTTGTTGCAAGGTCAGCACGCCGCGCGATCTTTGGCTGCTACTACTATAAAAACTTGCGCGTCATATTTCCAGCGTTACGACAGGTTTCAGCAGCTAAATATCATTGTCAAAATGATTGCTGCTACCTACAGATTTTTCCGCTTCTTCACAGATGTAGAGTTCATCAGTGCAAAGCGTATGTCTGATTGGGTATCACTTGGGTTAGGCCCCCACCCAGGCTGAAGTTTTGTACAGTTGCGATACACCAAGTTCCCAATTGCCCTTAATTCCATGTGGACACTATTAGCAGATGGGGCCCCAACCTACGTTATCACTTCTGTTGGCAGATCCCTGTTGCGAAGTCCTGTCCAGGCCTGGCCACGAGGTGAAATTGGAGCCGCTCTACGACATCACGAACTCTGGAGGCCTAGGCCCCTATCCGCTGCTGGGCTTTGGAGGTTGAGGGGGGGTTGGAAGAGGATGTTGACGGTTTCAGGGGATGTGGACTGCAATGCGCGATTGAAACGATGGTGATGCTTTGGCCTAGAGCATGGAGTCAGGCATACGAGCTTGTTGAACTGCACCTCTCGCAATGATTTAAAGGATTTACGTCCCCGCTTACTGATTGGGCGGGTGCTGTAGCGCATTTTGCAGAATTCATGCCTGCTTGGCAATGTTGTTGCTGGATTATGTTAAAGCATTGACAGGGTTTGTCTGTAGGAAACTCAGACCAGGGCCCAATGCTTCTTTCTCTACCACGCTGCGCTGTGAGAGGAAATGGTTTAATTCAGGTCCATGACCCTCCACAAGTTCCTAAAGGAAAAGATTTATTCTAGGTTTGCTATTACGTCACAGTAGGGAATTTGTTTCTAGCAAGCTACATGCAGTCCTCCTTTAGCAGAATACAACATTCCACAAATTCATAAAAAGATCCCCACATACCTTCTTTCCTGCCTGAGATTCTACCTACTGAAGGTTGACTAAACCCTAAACCCTAAACCCTAAACCCCAGGGCCGCTCACATGCAGCCCAGGTTCGGTGTGGACCCAGCTTGGCACGGAGCGCAGACTCATGTCTCCAACACTGGGGCGTTCGTTACGGGGCCTAGTTTAAATGAGAGCTTCCCAAAATTAGGGATCCCTTCTCAAGGGTCCCCATAATAAGGATCATAGTCAATCATAGTACTTTGGGGTTTATTTCCGGGTACTATCTTGCGACACTGCCAAATTACTGTAGCGTACACGGCCTCCAGCAAACAGATCATAGGTCGCATTGTTGCTTTAGTTCACGTACTCAGTGTTGGGCCCGATTTTTCAGACGGAACGAGCCCTACACCTAATGTAAGAACTATGCAGGAAGGACGTGGAGTCCCATGGTTTGACCGGTCGTATCAACGGAAGGTCTTTAAGGTTGGCCGAGAGCATCGGGTGTCTATCGCATTCATCAGCTACCTCATTGGCGAAGTTTGTCCTGCAGAATTCATTCATTGCTGTTGTGCAGCATCACCGTGCGAGCCACCCGCGAGTCTCAATAAAGTACATAAAGCCGCATGGAATCAAGATACTTGCTCCATTTGACATGGTTCATTGTACAAGTTGGCCATCAGTTGAACCAAAGCCCCAGGACGACAGGGCGTGTTCAGGTTTGTAGGGTTTGTGGTAGTGCCCAACCTAACCCTTAAACCCTTAAACCCTAAACCCTAAACCCCTAAACCCTAAACCCTAAACCCTAGATGAGCCGGGCTGAGGAATGAGCTTGTGTACATGAACTCTCTGAAGATGAAGATTTCGGTGCTGCTGGGCGTCGCGCAAATGATGGCGGGCTTGCTTCTGCGAGTGGCCAATGCCATCCACCAGCGCTGCAAGAAGCTCGGGATGGTATGAGCGAACTTTTTCCGGGGTTTAGGGTTTAAGGGTTTAAGGGTTTAGGGTTTAGGGGGCGCTGGGGCAACTACTGCTTCAAGAAATTGATCAGGGCATACGAGCGCAACCCCTTTTTGAGAATACATATCTTGTAACTACTGGACCTGGAGTTTGGAAGAATTGGACTGAGTGAAGTGAACGCAGCTGCCCTACAAAGTTCCGGCTGGCACATTCGGAGTGCCTTTAACATTCTTTAACAAATCAAGCATCCCTCATATGCATTGAGGATTCTAGTGTATATAACGCACAAATGTGCATAAAGGTGTGCAAGGCAGACCACGCATTGTTTTGGCAACTCCCTATGGACAGCTTCAAGATCAGCCGAGGCTGGACCTCCTGTGCGAGTGCGTGCCGATGATCCTGTTCATGCTTGGAACCATGACAAGAAGGGGTTTAGGGTTTAGGGTTTCAGCGTTTAGGGTTTAAGGAATTCTGGTCAGAAGCTGTTTACGAGTGCAAGCACAAGGTTTAGTGGACCACCAGTTCGTGGATTCGAGCGTCCTGATCTGTTTAATGCCCCATGTTGTGCATAATGGAAGCCACCACCGACAACGTCAGTTAGCGTCAGCTGTCTCTTGAGTAGCATTGGGCATTGTGATGCTGCCAAGTGGGTTACGGCCTCGCCGTTGCTAGACATGTTGGGTCGAGGCCGGACAGGATTGTAGAAGTTTCTTCGCATGTAACACCATGGCGCACCATGTGCAGCAAGGACTGTTTGGCTACATGGACTGCATGATCTTGTACAAATGGGTCACCCCTATGGCTAATGCCCCAAGCATCATCAACTCCATGTCTCTGGGCTCTCTGTGGAAACATTTTGTTATTTTCTGGGCTTCGGCCTGCAATCCAGGAAGCCCATGGGTTTAAGGTTCGGGGGTCAGGGTTTAGGGCCCCGTGACGACGAAGGATTGCGATGACGTCTTTCGCAGATGACCCGAATGCCATGTTCAGCGAGGAGGGGATTCAACAGATGGAATGTAAATATGTACTACAGTACTTTCTGGGACCGTGAGGTTAGTAATGGGTTAAGGAACCTACTTATGCAGGGCTACAAGGGCTACATGAAGGAGAGTGACACAGACATCCAGACACCATGCCCTAAACCCTAGGTCCTACAGAGAATCTCGTAGTGGACTACGACCCGGTCACCGGAGCACACTCAGGGGATAGATGGACGCCTGGGGCTTTTGATTAATCACCCCCCTTTAAATAGTAAAATGCTGCACCCCCCGCCTAACATTGGGGATTCTCAAAATTAGAATATACAACAGTGAGAAGATTTAAGATTAGGGGTGGGGATTTTCCATACTCAGGGAAGGTGATTAATCCCGAGTCTGAAGCCTCCAGCCCTCCAAAAAAGGAGCTTTCACGCGGATTGATGATCACCTGCCTACTCGCGATTCCAGTGCTGCTGCCCTCTGGCTCTGTGCATACTTTGTTTTCACCGTACCATTATGGGCTATTACACCCTAAAATTCCCTATTAGAACCCTATTAAGGGTAGAGTAAGGTACCCTTAAGGTCTAATAGCCCATGGTGGTAAGGCTAAACCCTACATCAAATTCTTCAAGCCTGGGGAGATTCTCCTAGAACGCCCTTACGATCTGATACTCCTGCCGGTGCTTTCAAGTCATTTCCCTTGGATAAGCTTCTATGTACAAGGGGTGTACAGCATGCTTTTGCACTGCTATAACTATAACATGATTGAGTTCCGTGTCAGTTATGAGAAAGTCATTCTTGCCGCTGCTCATTCAATCTTGCCGCGGGCAGTAGCCCTGCCAAGGATTCCGAAGCCTATTTACCTGTGCCGCTCAGACTGGATGTATGGGGTTATATCATGTTATATCATTGTACCAGGAGATGTAGGGAGGTTTAGGGTCCCGTAATAATGATAACCATAGAACAGACCATGGAACATGAAATGGAAATTCGGACGATACAGGGATGTAGGGTTCAAGGGTTATAGTCCCCTCAAGTAGATAGAATAGGGTTTTGGGTATAAGATCCCCATACACCCCATATTCTATATACCTAAGGGGGATTGTAGGGGCATCTCCATAGGCCCAGATGTAAAAGGCGTTCATGGCCCAGCCGGTAAGAGTCCAGATGAAAAATGATTCGGGGCAGCCTTTCGGTCACGGTATAACCGCTGAGTCTGACACTTTCCGCTTTTGCGTTTGAATCTTGGCACGTGGACCGAAGAGCGACAAGCATGTTCAGGCTTGCATCTTTCATAGACCACAGGCGAAGTTAGACACTTTCCCCCGAATTCCCCGCAGCTGCTTGAGAAGCCTACTTTGTGTGATTCAAGGGGCATGAGGGGCTACAATCGGGTTACAATGGGCTAATTCAGGGGTACAATATTTTGCCTTACTCGGGCCGCTCAATGCATGTGACGAAGTTATGACAGAAGAGGACTTTCCAGGCCAGTGCAAGATCTACATCGGGACGAACACCTAGGAAGATATTAAAAGGCAGATCCTGTAAACCCTGGGGAAGCCCATTACAACCTACACCCGATCACTCTAAGATCTAAGGGCTCAAGCACAGAGAGCGGCTGGAAGCCACAGAGGAGCCCTGGCCCCTTCAAAAATGGACATTGCAAAATGGGAAGGGGGGGGAGGGTGTAGGGGAGTGCCTCTTCTTATCCTGAGTAGTCCTTTGGTTGTTTCGGACAAGTCTTTTCGAAAGTGGAGATATTGGGAAGAAGAGGTTTACATGACTAAGCAGGGGTTCACCATGTGTGGAGTCTAGCTGGTGGGCGGTCGTTGTAGATTGACAAAGGAAATGGTGCCCCCGAATTGCCCCTGAACACAGCAGCTGGCGATTTTACACATGTCTTTACTTGAATTTCGGCGTGTGTCTCTTGATTGTCTCAGCTATGCTATGAGAAAGAAGAAGTCGGCCTTGCGAATCAGGCAGGCCTCCACTGAGGGTTGTCAGATGGAACACATCCAGCTGTCAAGGCTCTGGTTTCCATATACTGTTGCTCCCCTTATTCTCGCGACCCTCGGTTGTGTACGCAGACTCCCCTAAACCCTGAACCCTAAAACCCAACACCACAGAACCCAGCCATGGCTCTCCAGGGTATCGGGTGACCTGGTAGATGCAAAGTCTCAAAGCTGTTGCGTGTACTATATTGGGGTAATATTAAGGTTATATTGGGGTTATATATTGGGCTTGTATTGGGATAATATTTGGGTTATATAGGGTTATACTTAGGAGTTGCCAATGAGCAGTGGGCCAAACCATTAGAATGAGAGAGGGTGCCGCACATTTTTCAGCGGTGTACCTTCTGCAGTGCTGTCTTAGAGCCATCCGCGCTTTGTGGGGGAGTTGCAAAACTGTAGGCCTCCTTGTCGTGTCCTGCTTGAGGGAGGCCATGCGGTATAGAGAAGTATTTGGGGGAACCTGCACTTCGAGACTACCCCGTGGCTTCGAGCACCCCTAGTATGGGGGAATATTGGGACAACCTGGAAAATCAAATGGAAACTAGTATAGTATAGTATGTTGGGGTAATATTGGGATAATGGGAAAATGGAAACTACTATAGTATATGGTGGCTCCCATTTTTCAGAACTCATAGATAGAGGGGATTGAGCAGCTTGCGAGGAGCAGTGCAGACGCCCAGCCGCTGGTACGCAAGAAGCCTCCACCCTCCAACGGCCGGACATGGAGCCCCAAATGAGCTATAGCAGCTATAGTCTAAACTCCTAGTATCCCCTTCAATAACCCTGAAAGTAGTCCCCTACAGAATCCCCTATATAACCCCCTTCAAGGAGTTTAGACCATAGCTCGTATCATATATAGCTCCCATTCAAGGACAGAGGTCTTCAAAGGGGCTTGGCTTATTCCCATAGTTAAGGCTTGATCAGCCACTTCCCCCCTGGACCTGAGCCACGAGGTCTTCTTGATGAACTCCTACCTCGAATCTCCAATACCGACCCCAGCATGCTGTCAAGGGGCTCCGAAAAGCGGGAGCCCCCTAATCTGTTTGAAGCCCTAACCCCTGCATATCCCCATTTGGGCACGTGCCGAAACGATTGGTTTGTAACAGGGACCTTGGCCCACACCCGTTACATACCCCGGTACATGGGGTATGTAACAGAGGGAGGTTTTC